TGTTGGTCTAATCCAGGGGTAGGCAACCTTGGCTCTTTTATGACTCGTTGACTTCAACTCCCAGAATACCTGAGCCAGCTATGCTGGCTCAGGAATTCTGGGAGTTGAAGTCCACGAGTCATAAAAGAGCCAAGGTTGCCTACCCCTGGTCTAATCAGAGCCAGCAATGGGACCAAACTGCTAAAAAAGCCAAAAGTATTTTGAGTTGCATTAATAGGAGAATCTAGAGAACGGAAGTCCCCGTTTCCCTCCATTCTGCACTGGGCAGAGCCCATGTGTTGCCTAGTTCTGGGCACCCCACTTTAAAACAGAGCGTAACAACTGGAGCAAGTTCAAAAGAAGGTTCCCCAGAGGGCCAAGGGTCTGGAAACAAAGTCCTTAGAGAGGAAAAATGAAATTGTTTGGGTATGTTTAGCCTGCAGACCCAGGGGAGATGCCATAGCAGCCTTCAAACTTTTAAAGGGCTGTCATCCAGGGAAGGGAGTGGGCTTATTCTGGGCCGCCCCAGAGGGTGGAAGCAGAGCCAGGGGGATAAAGCCCACGAGGCAGGAGGTCCCAGCTGGATCCTAGGAGGGTCTTCTTGGCTGCAGGAGCTGTGGGCCAGGCAACCATGGGGGGGGGGGGGGAAGGGGTGATGGAATTCCCTTCACAAGAAGTTTTCCAATAGGTATTTGAAAGGCTTCAGCGGATCCTACTCTGAGCAGGAGTCGATCTCGATCAGGGCTCTCCAAGCTTGCCATCTTTAAGTCCTGTGGACTTCAATTCCCAGAATTCCCCAGCCAGTCATGAATGATAGAATTGGAAGGGATCGGAAGGGTCCCCTTGTCCGGGATTTCTCAACCTGGGCAACTTTTAAGACTTGTGGATGTGGGCTTCAACTCCCATGCTGAAGATCCACAAGTATGGAGATCCCTGGTCTAGATGAAGTCCCCTCTAAACCTATGATTCTGGAACAAGCCATCATGAGCTGCAAGTTCTGCCTAACTGCTCTGAATCAGCCACAGTTCAGCAGAACCCAAACCTAGAGGGAGGGTAGGGTGGCTTTGCAGGATAAAGAGAGCAAAACTGGAGTCTCCCTCCCCCACCATTAGCTTCCCCCCTCCTCCCCCCAGGCCCAGCCCTTCCCCTCTCCCTCCCTCCCCAGACCCACAAACATCCTTGGTCTGGATGTCTTTTCCAAAACCAAACATCCCTGTTTCCTTGTCTTTGCAGACCAAACATTCAAAACACGGATGATTTTGGAGTTCAGCTGTGACCCTTGAAGCCAGCGGGGGAGTGTGTGGAATACCTCCCAGGGGTCAGTAGGGTATTGTTGTTGTTGACTCACTCGCCCCTGGAAAGAGTGAGCATAAGTACACTCCGCAACACAGCTGTTTTCACTCTTTGACAAAGAAGATTAATTCCTGACCAGATGTCTGTAGTGGAAAAAATAAACCTACTAAACAAAGTGGAGACTGCAAGCCCCACAACTCCCCGCCCCCCAGTCTTCTGGATATGGCGGAGGCCCACCGGGTTCCTCTTTCTGCCTAATCCCATCAGACCCTCCTGACCCCCAACGAAGCCCTCTGCCATCCTGTCTAGCCCTAGAGAAGCCCCACTGCCCTCCCCTGGAAGACCCATTTTGTCCAAGGATAAAAATGGAAATATTCCCAAGAAAGGAAGAGGACCTGCCCTTCTTCCCCGGAACTGGCCAGCCACCTGGATCTGGGACACTTCCTGCCTTGTGGCCCCAAATACTACAAGAACCTTCAGTTTCCCCTCAAGTGGGGTCCTTCTTTCTCGTAAGGCAGGCACCCCAGGATCACTGCGATAAACGGGCCCCCCCTCCCGAGCAGGGCTTCTTCCTGACCATTAGAAGGTTTTTACAAAACTTTCCTCCACCTGTTTCACCACCTCCGGGAAAGGCTGTTTCACCCCTTGGTCTTCGCCCACCGCAACCAAAGACGGGCTCAGCAGGCGCCAGTCTGACTTCTGGCCATGGGTCAGTCCTTTCCCCTTGCGCAATTTCCCCCCAGACCTCGTTTATTCTGAGCAGTGCACAATTTTTCTCCAAACTGCTCCCTGGTTTTCCTTCCATTAGTGAAAACATAAAACGCAACTAGCTCCAACCTCTGGATCGCTCCTTCTGGATGAACAGCCCAGGTGAGACCAATTCTGACGTGTGTTTTATTCCTTCTCTGCAGGTCTCGGGAGCTTCCTTCACCTCCACCCGAAGCCAGGTTTTTTACTCTTCAGCCCCCTCCCTCCTGGGCACCCTCATCCACACACCTGGCTCCTGTCGCCACTCGAACTCAGCACTCCCTGCCAAGCCACGTCTCCCGTTCTGGCTGGTCCAGGCAGGGCCCACTCTGGCACGCTCCCTGGGCAAGTTCCCCCCCCCCGGGGCCAGGTGGGCTCCTGAACGCCACCTGAGCAGGTGAGGATCTCACCTGCTGCCAGCTGTGCCAGGCTGGGCTGGCAACTGATTGGGCTGAACGCCCCCCTGCTGAAAACTGCTTCCAGCTGTTGTGCCCCCCCCTCTCCATCCCCTCAGGATGATGGTAGCAGCAGGACCTGCCTTTCACCTTCCCCACACAGATGTGCAGGCCTTGCCTAGCCCCCCCCCCGCTGTACCTCAAGGGGAAATACACACCTGGCAAGAGGCGCAGTCAATCCCCGTTAATGGCTTCATTAAACCATGGTTTATTGACAGAGCCAGCTAGTGGGGCTCACATATAATCTTTCGCAGACCAAAACCAAAGTATATGCTAGCTGCTTAATGTGATGCTGGCCGGCATTTCCCAAGTTCATAATCAACACAATCTCTATTTGGATGGATGAGGACTAGAGGCTTGTTTTCTTTCACGGAGAGGAACACCTTTGAGGGACAGAGTCTCTGGCTGGGGTCACATGGATGGTGCAGTTCTCACTCTCTGACCAGGTTGGGGAAAGACCCTCTTCCCCCCCCCCGTCTGCTGGCATAAACTGGTTCTCCTGCCCCCGAGGTGAGTGATTCGCACCCGGGGGAAAGCCCGCTAGAGGCCTCTCTGCCCATTACAGCTCCCTGCTCAGGGTCCAGGGGCTGGGCCGGTCCTGGGGACAAGGCCGGCCGGTCTCAGCTGCTGCTGGGCTCCTCACAGGGCCCAGTGGACACCGTGTGGGTCTGGGGAAAGCAGCCCTCCAACTTGGCATACAAAGGCAGGGCCCCGAGAGTGGGAGGTGGGGCAAGGGCCCAAGACCCCCGGGGCCCCTCAAACTAAGAGAGGAAGCCCAAGGCTGCAGACCAATTGAAAGGGGAGGGGGAGCCCCGCATCCTACGCCGCCTCCGCCTCCCCCTGGCATCTGAACCCCCCCACCTCAGGGACCCCCACTCCTTTACGTGCTCCCCTGAAGCTGAAGTCCCACAAAGTGACCCCCAGCCAGAGCTCACCCTCCCTGCCTGCCTGCCCCAATTCCAGACTGGTCTGGGAAAGAGCCAGCCCAGTGGGTCACCCCCCCTGCTCACTCTGCCTGGGGGGGTGGGGGGTGGGAGATAGGCTTCCAGTCTGGGACCCCCAAGGTCTTTTCTCCACAGCTTCCTCTGCTCCCTTGCTGCTGCGTTTGTGGTGTTGTGTATGTGGCTGGCCGGCCCACTGTACAATGTAAACAAAGTGTGTTGCCCCCTCCCTCCCTCTTTGCCCCCACCCCATGTGGAAACAGATGGGCTGAAGCTGCTGGAAGGACGAGAGCCCCCCCCCCATCTTCCCATCTTCCCAGGGCAGGACAGGCAGCCCTGGAGGCAGCAGCTGTAGCTGTTTCAGGCAGATGCTTTATTCCCTCTGGTGGGGAGGGTCCCGCTTGCCCAGGGGAGGGGTTG